GCACCATTCCAGCCTAACTCAGCTCCCCATGGTATACGTACCATAGCTTTCAGCACTCACACGTATAACGTGTTGAGCCGGTTAGCCGATATCGGCAATGAACCGCAAGGCTGAAAGCTTTAGCGTAACTGGTAGCGCACTTGCCCGGAAAGCGAGAGGTGCGGGTTCTAGTCCCGCCTGGGGCGAAAGTTTTGTTCACAACCCAGCATTCTTGTGAAACATTCGCAAGGCGAACTGCGGCCAAAAACAGCAGTTAACAAACAAAAACAAGTCAAAAATCAGTGCGAAGAGCGTCAACACGAGCACTGGCGCATGGCGCGTATTTGGTGTACAGTCGGTGACTTCCAAATCGACCATTCCAATTTCAATACATCCTGTCTACTTTTCGATGTTTTGTGTGCCGTCTTGCTTTCGTTCGTGTTCTTTTTTTGCTTGTACCATAGATTTTCTCGCCTTAATTTCTTCTATCGGTCGACTGGTGGATAGCGTTCCAGAGAGTGGCTGTGAGTCTTTGATCAGCTTTCCTGATGACGTCCATGGTCCTGACCTGCCGACAACCTCATTGATCTCGGACTGTGTACCACATTCCCAAAGGAAAATCTTCCGACTTCGTCGGGGTAAAAGGCTATCGTGAGTTTTTTATTGAAAGGTTCAAAAGTGTGTCCATTTTCAGTTGAATTCGTTCACACAAATTGCATTTGATTCCATTTTAGGTGTAGAGGATCCATAGTTTTCGATTGGAAGCTACTATAGGCTGACATGTGGGTACGTAGGCTTCTGTCTATGTCTAGCGATGAACAAATAAATAAACAAAAGTCGGATCAGTTTGATATAACTGGTGTTATCTTTATATTCAATTTTTTGATCTTTATTCATTTATTTTTTGTGATGACATAGAAGCCTTCGAGCCTTATATGAAGTTACCAGGAAGGTCTTTCAGGGCGTGACGAGCTTTTTGAAAACGGTCTTTTGCATGATATAGGGGCAGATGCGGGACCACAGAACCATGTTTAATTTTTCCTGAACGGCCCTCTGAATACCAGAAAAGGGGGTCCCTAGTTCGATTCCTCTTGGTGACAAATTTTTGCATTTCGAGTTGACGTTCCAAAATTCGCGCAAAATGGAGTTCTGATTGTTCTGGTTGGTTCTAACTCCATTTTGCGCGAATTTTGGCACGTCAACTCGAAATGCAAAAATTTGTTACCACGAGGAATCGAACTAGGGACCTCCTTTTCTGGTATTCAGAGGGCCGTTCAGGAAAAATTGAACATGGTTCTGTGGTTCCCGCATCTGCCCCTATATCATGCAAAAGACCGTTTTCAAAAAGCTGTCACGCCCTGAAAGACCTTCCTGGTTAGTGGCTTTCAAAAGGAAATACGATGTCCT